AAAAAAAAAAAAAAAAAAAAAAAAACTAGGATTCTTCCGTAATCATTTTCAAAAAAATAAATCATTTGCTGCAAAATGACTTTCAATACTTCAAAAATTTTCATCTCACAAAATGTCACGATCGTATCGTAAAAATTTTCTAGGTTGCTGTGTAATGATGAGAAAGTTATATGTTTTTTTGAGCAAATTTTGAAAGATAAGAATTTTTCAAAGATGTATGCCGAAAATTGAACTGTATTTCCCAACCAAATAAGTGATATTCTTTTGTTCTTTCAGTAGACACCGTTGTGGCTTAAAACTGTGTTTATTTCAGGGGAAACTCTACCAACTGCATGTGTCATAACACTTATCATTGTCAATGATTATATAATATTCTTTTTTAATTCAAATCTGCAGATAAAAAATAAGAAAAAAAAAACAATTCTTATAACAGGTAGCATAAAAATAATCAAAAGTTCTTTTTTTTCTTTAAATTTATTGACTAAAAACGAGCTGAAATCGAAATTGCTCTATTTTCCAAACTGGATAACTGCAGAAGGTGAAACAAAAAAGTTTGAAGAGTTTTGTCAATAACGACTTTTCTGAATGCAGCAGTTCTTTTTGACACTGTCAGATACTCCTATTATTCTCATGTAAGACATATTTTCTTTCCTAATTTTTTCTTCTCATATTCTTCCCATAAGGCTTTCAAAATAGAATGTTGTCAAAATCTGTTAAGGAGGCTAAACGTTTGGCAACTTTTAAAATTTCTGTCATTTATGTGGTTGTATTAATGCTGTTATATTATCATTTTCAAAGAGTCCGTGACTTTCCCAGACAACAACTTTTGGAGAACATTGATGTAAGAAGAGGTAATTTACAGTTTCACTGCTGATCTGTTGATACGGAGATACCGTAACAACTATGCTTAAAAGTTTTCATAGAAATTTTTAAAAACTGGTTGTATACTAAAAAATTAGGCCTGTTGTATTCGGAAATCTTCTGACCACTTGTTGAAAACTACAGCTCCAGACTCGCCAAAAATTGCAATTTTAACTGTACTGAAAGACCACAGGAATTATGACACTTATGAGGCGGCACAAAATCTGTTTCACTGTTATGCAATCTATCACGGCTATCAGTGGGTTGTGATTGATATATCAACAAATATCACCTTACAAAAACTATGTCCGCACAAAAACGTAATATTTTTTGTCATTTCTTGTCTTGCTGCCAAATTATATTGTTTTAAAGGGACAGAAACTGCATGAGAGTTGGAAAATTAAATCGCTGAATATCATTGGCATAGATAAGCGCTACGACAGTTTCTTAAGGAAAATTAAGCAATAACTCACTTCTCGATCCTTTAAAATTTTCTCAACATCAATAATAAGCTGTTTTAAAAAACATTTCTTTATTGGAAAAAATTGTTTGCAAAAGATTATAGCTCATTCTCGGTGAAATTGCGTTGAGTTTAATCTGAACTAGGCACGGTTTCAGTTTTTGTTTCAACGGCACTGCGTTACTGCTGAGCTAATGAAAGAAATGACTGCCGAATGGATTTTATTCATCGATGCCGATACGACAGTTATAAATCCGAACCGTCTGATTGAGGAGTGGATTGATAAAAATTACAATATGATTTTTTATCTACGTATAAGGTTTTTTGAGATTACCGCAGGTGTTTATTTGGCCAGGTAAAATCTAAAGTACTTGTTTTTCTTTGCAAAACCTTAAAATTTTTTATAGCTCGTTTTACTTCAACTGCTGTTATTACTGTGAGAAACTGTTGAACATCTTCCTCAAAACATTTAACTGTTGTTACTGCAGTAGTTTGGAAAATGATATTATTAAAGTTCTTTTTAGGAACAATCCATATTCAAGAAACTTCTTACATTTTTGGGCTGATTATGAGCACAGATTACCTAACTCGGTTCATAACCACGATAATGGAGCACTTCACGTAGGTCACTTAAAATGTCTAATCTTCTCTAAAAAAAAATTCGTGTGGAAATCGTGCAGTTTAACCTCTTGAACAAATATGCTAGCGCAGAATGCTATCGTGAAATAAAAGTGCGTGGAAAGTTTACACTCCCAATTTTTTCTGTGCTGCCATTTTTAGTCTGCAATTTTAGAGCGTTGTATTGGAGACCGTTATGCCAGAGAAGAAGTTTGAAAAGGAACAGTGCGAGAAAATATGGCAAACTTCTCGGTAATCTTTGAATAGAACTCGAAAAGGCACTGGAAAATGCTACAGTAATAAATGATAGATGTTATAAAAGTGGCAGCTCAAAAGATTCTACAGCTGTTTCGTGAGCTGTTTCAATATTTCCCTTCAAAGCAATGACTAAACCTGTCGAAACGTTTAATTATTTTCTTGTTCAGTGATATAATTCTACAGCTTATTCACTATGTACGGGGGATCAACACATTCAGACGCCTTAACCCTGCTGTAAAAAATATTTTAAGGAATTTTTAGTCGTTACGAAGATGTGTCCAGTTACGAAGCTTGTATACAATACCTCTTGGGACCTAAAAAATCGTGGCCAGGAAAAATCAAAATTCTTGGAAAACCTAAGGGAATGACTCGCGACGCTCCTATTACGAAATCCTTGTGGGGTCGACGAGACTTCTTGATTCACGGTTGGAAGAAAAAGTAATGCTTTTATTGCTTAACAAAGTTTTTTAACTAACTTTAACTTAAAACTCGTACATTTTTAGACTAATTGGTTCGGCATGGCTTGGCAAGAACCCGTTTTATCCACATAATTTTGATATTAATTTGTGTTCCACAAACAATGTTATGCTAAATTGGCCGTATAAACCTCAAATGTTTAAAACTGACAAAAAAATTGAAAAAATTTTGAATCGTACTATCAAATTCGTTAACAGGCGATATGATAGAAGAGTAAAAATATTGGTGTTAAAAGCGCTTGGAGTTAGAGATGAGAGGAAATCTTTACATACAACACACCTGCTCTATGTCTAATTGTATTACTGATTGCTGGATACATCATAATTTGTAAATCTGTTGTTTCCTGGCTTTACCTTCTCGATACTTGTGTAGTACTGATTCAATAGGTGTACTGCTACATATCAAGTGACAACGCAAAGAGCAAATGATCAAAATAAAACTACAACTAAACGTAATCAAACAATTTTTTAAGGCTTGTTTAGAGACAGATTATTAGCCGGAAAAATTTCATCCTCGACTACCTTTCCTCTCGCATAGAATACTGTTCGTTATGCAAAAATTTTTGTTTAGAACTGTTAATGTTTTCACAGTTACAGTTTTAGCGTTTAAGTTTTTTGCCACTGCAAGATTTTCAATAACACATTTTTACTCTGTTATTTTTCTAGTAAGAAGGAAAAAAGAAAAGAAAAGCACGAAGAAGCTGTAGTTTTTATACTGCAGAATACTCGGTAATAAACTTCCGAGTAATGTCGTTATCAAAGCAGTAAGTATAGATTTCTTGGTAAATCAATAGTTTTTTCTACATTAGAAGTACGATTTCATTTACCGCTTTGAATTGTATTGAATTATCTAATTAAATCGTTATTGTTCGTTTTGTTACGCAATAAATGTTGCAAAGGTGTTTGAGAAACTTATGCTTATATCAAAAATTGCTTTCAAATAGATGTTTTGCGTTATTAAAGACGTTAATTTGCATAGCCACCAGTTGACAATGTTTGATAAAGCTATCACTGGTTTGAAGTAATCCAGCTTTGTAATTTTTAAAGGTTTACAGTTGTTACTTTTGAACACTGGTACTACAGAACGGGTTAACTGTTGGTGTTTTTTGCGGATTACAAGTTGTCCAGAATATTTCTGCATACCGCTGTACGAGGAAAAAGCTATATGAACAAACAAAAGAAGGTAAAGAAACAGAAATCATTTTGTTGAAAGATCAAAACGTTACATGGTTTATGGTCTGCAATTTTTCCTTTAAAATGTTTTCCAGACTATAATCAGTAAGGATGTTCTACGATAATTTGCATTCACCAGGTATGGTAAGCTGTAGAGTAAAACATTTCTGCTAGCCGGTTCCAAGCGAATATTCCGGAAGTCAACAGAATTTTTCTTAGAGGCGCAGTTGTTTCGTAGTCAACGATGGTTATATGAATCATTCCTTAAGAGTCTCTCTTATACCTGATTTTCGTTCGCTTAGGTGATCAGTACTGCAACCCCTCCGAGATCTTCCCATCAGGGTGATACAGTGTTTTAAATTTCTCCTACAATGCCCTTCGCAAGCACTCGCGACGATGCAGCTTATTTTTTAGTGAGCCACCATCTTAATTTAATCTCATTCAAAGTCTCTTGCAATGTCATGCACACTATTCTCATGTACTTTCTATTGACTGTATTTTTAATTAATTTTATACATAGCTTAATGACGTCGGGAACTCTGTATTTTTAGATATTTTAATATTGCTGTATCGGCTAAGGCATTATATAAAACCATTTTTTCAATCTAATCCTTACTGGTTCTTCTCTTTTTCTCAGTGCTCTTTCACATAATCTTTTACCAAATATTTTTGATTGTTAGGTTTATCAAAGTAGAAACCCTGAAAGAACAGAATTCTGAGCTAGTCTAAATGTAATTTTTTTTGTAAACGTTTAATTCAATAAATTAGCTCGAATTAATCAAAAAAAGCAAAAGAAAAAAAAAACAGAAGTTAGCCAGTGTTTTAATTCTCAAAGATTTGACGACTGACAATTATTCAGGAGAATGCATTTGAGAAAAACCAAATTTAAAAAACTAACGATCTTACTTACTGTTGTTATTATTAAATATTTACAGTTATACGTAATTTAAAACTTTATCTTTCTTGTAACTTACATATTTTTTATTTATTACAAAGTAAGTTTGCAAATTTCTTGTCTCTGACAGTGCCAGAAACGTTATTTTAGCCAAGTTCAAGACGACCTAACTTTGTAATAGGGAATTTCACAATCGTACGCGAAATACCAATTACTGATCATTCAACTGTTCTTTCGTCTGCTCTTGAGGGAAAGCCTTTGGAGAGCGAACAAAAAATTAGTAAAAGAAAGCTTATAAGTAGTGAGAGATTGAACAAATCAAGCCAGTTTAAATCATGATTTGCTCTCAATTCTGTTCAATTACAATCATTACTTGTCTTTCAGATCTTACTTTTTTTTGTTTTGAGTAGTATCACTCTAGCAGTTTAGATTTTCAGCTTTAAGTTTTGTAGTTTTTTTGTCTAATTAACATTCAGTTTTTGTATTAGGCTATAACTAAATAGTAAATCTTCAGCTTGCTGTTTTTTGCTTCTGTATTCTTCTTCTTCAAGACAGTTGATTATTGCAACAATTGTTTTAGCGACTATTTTCAGATGTTCTGTTTCGTTTATTGTACTTGTTTGAGGTCAACCGTCTGTATCAGGTAGCAAACTGAATTGTCAAACACATTCGCCTGTTTTATTGCAGAGCAGTATTAAAAATGCTACATAGCATCTTTATAAATATTATTGTAAAATTTTCCTTAAGCTATTTGAGGCTCCGGTAACCAGAGTCTGAGCATTAAGCAGAGTAATAATGTTCAGGGAAGACTTTCCGGGATAATAAAGGCTGACATCGTATTGATTTTCCAACTTAAGAAAATGGTCATTTGGCTACGAATTACTAAGCACAGAACTAGACAATGAAGAACTTTATATTAAGTTAACTCAGTTCCATTAACATAGAACGTCATCGCAAATAGAGCTTCGACGAGCAGTCTTTGATTACGCAGCTCTAATTGACTTGTCTAGACTCATGGCGTTATCCAAGAATCAGCACGTTGGCAAAGCGTTACGGTGGCTTTCGGCCAATCATTACGTTGCTGCCATCATTCTACCGTAGTTCATACAAATGATATTTTAACTATCTCATCCTTCTGACCGAAGATCGTATTCCGAAGTCTCAAAAAAATTGTTATTTACTGTAAAAAAATTCTGAATTTGTATATTCAGCTTGACAGTCTTTTATAGTTAACTGGAAGAGCACTTATACAAGAAGTAAGCAAGCAAAAAGTTTCGTTTGTTGCAAACTTAATATTCAGTTGATTAAAATCACTTCTACTCTTCTAAAAACAATTCTTGTTCATCGTAAATGCTTTACAGAGTAAAAAAGTTACAAAATTAAACTATTTTTAGTGTCAGATTTGCTTGTAAATTGTATTTGAAAGGCTATGTAACTACCAATAACAATTTTAAAAAACGAGATTGAATTACCTGACTGTTTAATTGACACTTCCGAATCTAAAAAACCTGTCAAAGCAAGACAAAATTCTGTAGCAGCATAGAACTTTCGCAAATAAAATATACCGACAGCTAAGAAAATGCACTTTTTGTTATCGAAAACCTTTATGACGGTTATAAATATTAAACATTTTTTGTAAAACTCTTCTCAACAATATTAGTAAAGCTACTTTTCAAAAATTACGTGTACCATTCAAAACTGCTAAAAAATAGCTACAAGGCGTATCATCTAGCCATATTTCTGCGAAAGCGAAAAAATTAATACTTCTTTTACTCAAAAAAGTATAGAAGTTGTTCGTTTTATTATCGGGTTATTTAGTTACGCATTATTAGCAGTACAGACAGGTGCAGATTTACACTTTTTGAATTACGCTTTTCGATTTTTCTGTTACAATTCGGAACTGTATCGGTTAAGAGGAGTAAGCTTATTTCTTGTACCTAAATGATGACTTATAATTACGTATATTTAAATGCGTGCTAAAATTATTAGAAACTAGTCAGGAAGCTTAGTGACGACTAACTGGCGAGTACGATTGTGCATTAACTAAAAATAGAAGTTTTAGAAGTTGATAAAATTATATCTTTTATTAGCTGCTGGTAGTTAACAAATGACAGTGATCGTCTTCGTTTATAGAAATTGAAACAACAGCATATTTTTTTAATATTTTTTCAGTAAAATTACTAGTTTAAAATAAGTAATTATTTTAATCTGAACAATCAAACAAGAGAAATTTTTACACTTAAAGTAACTCAAAGTGCGCTAAAGTTGGTTTGAAAATGACAAATATTGCAAAGAGAAAATAAAATATACATCTAAAATGACAGAAAATTATTGTTCACGATCATTTATTAGTTTATTTGAGTAAATTATAGAAATAAAGCGAAATTTTAAGTCACATTAATTTTTTATATGGCAGCAAATTGACGTTTGGTACAGCAAAGAACAGGTGCTAATCTTGAAACACTTAATTACAAAAAGTACACTGTTGAAAGAAGAGTCATTCTAGTGACTAGATAGGCAGAACTCCAGCTACATCAACTCCAAAAAACTTCTAGAGTGGATCATATACGATAAAAACATGAATTTTTTAACCTTTCTTTTTTTTACGTGTCATTGTAGGTCATGGTTTTCGAGCTTTTCGAGACTTACTCTGATAGTTTGGTACCTGGCATAATTCACTCTTACTTCTTACAGGTAATAATAGAGAAAAGAAGACCAGTGTGTCACTGCTGATTTGCGCAGTGGTTTGGCTCTACTGCTCTAATCAAAAAAGCTGATGTTCTATTCTGGCAGCGTGCTTTACACTGGCAATGCCGTCGTAGTTGGTTTGCTGGGGATCAAATGCTGCAGATATTAACGTATGAATTCCCTGAGCTGCAGACCGTCGGATGCCGTACTGCCGCTCATCCCCATACCTACCACATCGGATTTCCATGAAAGGCACTTCATCTTTTAATTTCTAACAAAAAGAAGCGAGATCATTGAGCATTTGTTCAGTTATGAGTAAAGCACTGAAGCAAAGTGAGAGATCAAGCCTTTGTTTGATTTTAATCAGTTTTTAAAAGAAAAAACCAACATGAATATTAGGGTCAACAATTGTTCACAACCGCTAAGATATTAAGTAAAAAATACACAACAAACGTTATTGCGGCCAGTTTCGGTCTAGCATTCATAAATATTTGTATAGTAAGCTAAAATCTGTTAAGGAATAATATTTAGTAGAAAAT